TCGGCATCGGCTGTAACCCCGTCGTTGGCGGGGATACTTGGTGAGTGTTCCGTGCGAGCGTTCCCATTGAGGTTGATATAGCTGACGCGCGTTGCCAGCTCGAACACCCCTGTGTGCTGCGAAAACGACGTCTTTGGTAAGTCTCTGTGGCGTCGTCGTTCGTGGCAAAGCATGCTTATGCGCGTTCCCTGCAGCCGGCTTGATCAACATCGGCTGCGTGGTTATCAACGTCAATCTCTAGACCCATCTCATCCTCTGATACGTAAGTCCAGATCTAGAAGAGTACTAGCACGGACGCGTGCTGACGGGCTTAGTTGTGACAGATATGCACCGTATATCATTCGCAAGTAAGTCGAAGCTGGTGTAGCCGTTGCCGTATGCTGTCGTCTGTCGCCTGTCGCTTTCCGGGACTTTGCAGCTCCGTCTTGTAACGCATTTCGCTTTCTATACACACTGATCCTCGCTCGTCGATGTTCACTGTATGTCTTTACATAAAAAGCTCTACATGTGCTGCCATTACACGGACGCGATCCCCCCGTTCATGGTAGATGTTCTCGCACTTTCGTTAATTGCCAGTGCGTTCATCAATGAGATCGCACCATCAATGCATCAATCATTGAAGCATTCCTCAAGGACGCTGCTGAGCCGAAATCATGATGCATAATTAAGTTATTAATCGCCCATCAGTTCCAGTCAACTTGCGAGCAGCGTCATCCGTTCAACATGGACTTTTGGGTTTGAGTGAGTGCATCATGCGAGTGGAGGATTGTGTACAGAGAAAGTGCACGCATATAAGCGTACGGGGCCTACAGTGGCACTCGAGAAGCGTCGCGCATGCGCGGCCGACGTGCGCAAAGTGACCGGGGGGGGGACGGTTCATTGATCTTTACATTATCTTTATATCGGTTTTGGCTACATATGCAACGATAGTCGTTTATGCACTATGGAAAACGGTAACATGAGGAGCTTGCCCTCCGGGGACCGAGTCGTCCTTGGATCTCCGTTTGAGGCCCAAGGGGATCGTTGAATTGAAATTTCTGATTCATCAGGACACTCTGGCCGGTTGGTTTATCACATCTACTAGATGATCTTGCACTGTTACAGGGGATGGGCCATCCGAACATAGACACACGGAATCTTGCTATGACAAGCTCAGAGCATCCCAACGGTCGTGACAGTTTTCTTTGTCTTTCACTCGACGATTCGGCTGGCGAAGCGCAGGTTAGAGTCAGGATCTCCCGCGCGCAAAAGGTTCCGACTCTCCGAGTCCGAGCTCGGTAGCGGTTCATGAGGCTGTCTGGCGTTGTTGATTTGTTCATCCACTGTGCGATGAGACGGCTTCAAGTGCTACGAAGCTGGTGGGTAGGAAGGCACGTAGGAAAGGATGGCAGGGTTTGGCGTCGGATGACTCATGGCCAGGGAGGGCTGGTGGAAGAAGTGCCCTCATCTACATCAGCAAAAAGGTCGGACACCGATCTGGGCCGATAAGGCAGACTTATGTAGGTAATGTATCCCGAAATCTTGTAATGTCAGGCAATGTCAGATAATGTCAGACAACACCCCATGGCATGCGGTGTCCCCAGACCTACTGATGTCTGGCCAGGAGCCATTATCTGTACATATCTAGTATTGCCTTACTGATATCTATTAGATATGTGCAGTCTCTAGCAGATCATATGAGGAACCATTTGTACAAATATACGCCTTTATATAAATTGATATGCAGGTGTACGGACATTGCAATGTTACAGATAGTAAATACAGCCTCAGAGTATGAGAAGAGGTGACATTATTGCTTTGAAACCTGTTCTCAGCACCTACTGACCTTATGATTGATATCTTCATGTCAATACCGCAGTCGTCATCGGGATTCCATTGTCTCCAGCTATGTCGTCGCCACTTCTGCAGAGTCACCATCACGTGCACAACGCATTGGGAAGCCAGCTTACCGTAGATGGTAAGCGGGCGACGCGTACGTCACTGCTGGACTTCAGTTCAAGCTCCGACGCACGTCCTTGCCCTTCCTCTCACTGTCAACGACACTAATACAAGCTTGCCGCTTTGGTACTCAGTACTCGTCCGGTTGTCAGATGCTGCTCAGCGGTCCTATCTGTGTGGTCAGCTGTGCCAGCCCCTAGCTGGTCTGGATGAGAACCTGCTCCGCGTACGACCTCCGTTGCCAGTCTATGTCAAACCCCTTGATGGCACCGTCATATTCTAAAGCTTCTTTATCACTTGCGGCACATTTACGCGCATGACGTCGACTCTAGCGTAGGGTACGATCGCTGCAACGTGCGTTGACTAATCTTGGGTGTCTCGGAATCAACGCGTAACGAGTTTGCAATCATCTTGACCGTAAGCTTTCGCTTCACGTCTGTGTACAATTGCATACTAGACAAGTCCACGCTATGGAATTACATGGTGAGTCTCATCCACTACCATCCCGAAATTGGTTCATAGACTGACTATATGCGCTGTATATTGATACTCTACAGAGCGCCGCATTTTGATTGAGAATTTGGTGAGTATCTACTTCTTGAGGCTTCATGACGACTGTGAGACAACGTTTCGAGATGCAGGGCTGCATCACTGCCGTTTCCCCAGGTCTTACTGTGAGTTGTCAGGAGAGAGCCAAGAATCGACTAGCACTGACTGCTGTCACGGTAACACCGGACAAGAGATCAAAAAGACTAAAAAGGGACAGTCACGTGGAACGTGCCGCCCTGATCCCCCTGATCCCAAAGGTATTCCCCTGAACCCTATGTGGCGCAAGAGCCTGTTGACTTACTGGTCAATTGTTGGCAGATGCAGGAAAGGGTGAGAGATATATGAAGGAGCTGGTGAGCTCAGTGAGTGCTACAGGTAGTAGACGAGGAGAAACAATCTGAGGTTTCGTCCCCTACATGGCTGGTCTTATATACACATACAGCAGGCTATCTTACCTAAGCTACCTATCTACGGGTATAAGCAAATGGCCGTA